AAAATATATTTCAAGCAAAACAATGGTCGTTTGCAGTAGGTAGGTTTCGAACCTATGCTGATAGAGAATCTGATTTTTAGTCAGACTCCTTATCCGACAGACCAAGGCTAGATCTGTTTGAAAGTCGAACTATTTCTGGTGATGTATCATGGGTTGAAATATAAGGCCATTATATTTTTTTAAATTTATGTAGTCAATCCCCATATTTGAGAAAAATTTCTGGGCTGAGCTGTTAATTAAAAAATATATATTTCAAGCAAAACAATGGCCGTTTGCAGTAGGTGGGTTTCGAACCTACGCTGCCGTAGAGAATCTGATTTCTAGTCAGACGCCTTAACCGACAGACCAGGGCTAAATCTGTTTGAAAGTAGAACTATTTCTGATGATGTGCAATTTGAAATATAAGGGCATTTTATTGTTGTGAATTTATGCACTCAATCCCCATAATTGACCACTTTTTTTGGGCTGAGCTGCTAATTACAAAAATTATATTTCAAGCAAAACAAATTTTCGTTTGCAGTAGGTAGGTTTCGAAACTACGCTGCCATGGAGAATCTGATTTCTAGTCAGACGCCTTAACCGACAGACCAAGGCTAAATCTGTTTGAAAGTCGAACTATTTCTGGTGATGTGCCATGAGTTGAAATATAAGTCCATTATATTTTTATAAATTTATGTACTCAATCCCCATATTTGAGAAAAATTTCTGGGCTGAGCTGTTAATTAAAAAATATATATTTAAAGCAAAACAATGGCAGTTTGCAGTAGTTAGGTTTCGAACCTACGCTGCAATAGAGAATCTGATTTCTAGCCAGACGCCTTAACCGACAGACCAGGGCTAAATCTGCTTGAAAGTAGAACTATTTCTGGTGGTGTGCCATTCGAAATATAAGGGCATTACATTGTTATAAATTTATGCACTCAATCCCGATAATTGACAAAATTTTCTTGGCTGACCCGTTAATTACAAAAATTATATTTCAAGCAAAACAATGGTCGTTTGCAGCAGGTAGGTTTCGAACCTACGCTGCAATAGAGAATCTGATTTCTAGTCAGACGGCTTAATCGACAGACCAGGGCTAAATCTGTTTGAAAGTTGAACTATTTCTGGTGATGTGCCATTTGAAATATAAGGGCATTATATTATTTTAAATTTATGAACTGAATCCCCATAATTGACAAAATTTTCTGGGATAAGCTGCTATTTATGAAAATTATATTTCAAGTAAAACAATGGTCGTTTGCTGTAGGTAGGTTTCGAACCTATCCTGATAGAGAATCTGATTTCTAGTCAGACGCCTTAACCGGAAGACCAAGGCTAAATCTGTTTGAAAGTCGAACTATTTCTGGTGATGTGTCATGCGTTGAAATAAAAGGCCATTATATTTTTTTAAATTTATGTAGTCAATCCCCATATTTGAAAAAAAATTCTGGGCTGAGCTTTTAATTAAAAAATATATATTTCAAGCAAAACAATGGCCGTTTGCAGTAGGTGGGTTTCGAACCTACGCTGCCATAGAGAATCTGAATTCTAGTCAGACGCCTTAACCGACAGACCAGGGCTAAATCTGTTTGAAATTAGAACTATTTCTGGTGATGTGCCATTTGAAATATAAGGGCAATTTATTGTTGTAAATTTATGCACTCAATCCCCATAATTGACCACATTTTTTGGGCCGAGCTGCTAATTACAAAAATTATATTTCAAGCAAAACAAATTTTCGTTTGCAGTAGGTAGGTTTCGAATCTACGCTGCCATGGAGCATCTGATTTCTAGTCAGACGCCTTAACCGACAGACCAAGGCTAAATCTGTTTGAAAGTCGAACTATTTCTGGTGATGTGCCATGCGTTGAAATATAAGTAAATTATATTTTTATGAATTTATGTACTCAATCCCCATATTTAAGAAATATTTCTGGGCTGAGCTGTTAACTAAAAATTATATATTTCAAGCAAAATAATGGCCGTTTGCAGTAGGTAGGTTTCGAACCTACGCTGCCATAGAGAATCTGATTTCTAGTCAGACGCCTTAACCGACAGACCAACGCTAAATCTGTTTGAAAGTAGAACTATTTCTGGTGATGTGCCATTTGAAATATAAGGGCATTTTATTGTTGTAAATTTATGCACTTAATCCCCATAATTGACAAAATTTTCTTGGCTGAGCTGCTAATTACAAAAATTATATTTCAAGCAAAACAATGGTCGTTTGCAGTAGGTAGGTTTCGAACCTATGCTGATAGAGAATCTGATTTCTAGTCAGACTTCTTATCCGACAGACCAAGGCTAAATCTGTTTGAAAGTCGAACTATTTCTATTGATGTGCCCTGCGTTGAAATATAAGTAAATTATATTTTTATAAATTTATGTACTCAATCCCCATATTTAAGAAATATTTCTGGGCTGAGCTGTTAACTAAAAATTATATATTTCAAGCAAAACAATGGCCGTTTGCAGTAGGTAGGTTTCGAACCTACGCTGCCATAGAGAATCTGATTTCTAGTCAGACGCCTTAACCGACAGACCAGCGCTAAATCTGTTTGAAAGTAGAACTATTTCTGGTGATGTGCCATTTGAAATATAAGGGCATTTTATTGTTGTAAATTTATGCACTCAATCCCCATAATTGACCACATTTTTTGGGCTGAGCTGCTAATTACAAAAATTATATTTCAAGCAAAACAAATTTTCGTTTGCAGTAGGTAGGTTTCGAATCTACGCTGCCATGGAGAATCTGATTTCTAGTCAGACGCCTTAACCGACAGACCAGAGCTAAATCCGTTTGAAAGTCGAACTATTTCTGGAGATGTGCCATTTGAAATATAAGGGCATTATATTGTCATAAATTTATGGACTCAATCCCCATAATTGACCACATTTTTTTTGCTCAGCTGCTAATGACAAAAATTATATTTCAAGCAAAACACATTTTCGTTTGCAGTAGGTAGGTTTCGAATCTACGCTGCCATGGAGGATCTGATTTCTAGTCAGACGCCTTAACCGACAGACCAAGGCTAAATCTGTTTGAAAGTCGAACTATTTCTGGTGATGTGCCATGAGTTGAAATATAAGTCCATTATATTTTTATAAATTTATGTACTCAATCGCCATATTTGAGAAAAATGTCTGGGCTGAGCTGTTAATTAAAAAATATATATTTTAAGCAAAACAGTGGCAGTTTGCAGTAGTTAGGTTTCGAACCTACGCTGCAATAGAGAATCTGATTTCTAGTCAGACGCCTTAACCGACAGACCAGGGCTAAATCTGCTTGAAAGTAGAACTATTTCTGGTGGTGTGCCATTCGAAATATAAGGGCATTACATTGTTATAAATTTATGCACTCAATCCCGATAATTGACAAAATTTTCTTGGCTGACCCGCTAGTTACATAAATTATATTTCAAGCAAAACAATGGTCGTTTGCAGCAGGTAGGTTTCGAACCTACGCTGCAATAGAGAATCTGATTTCTAGTCAGACGGCTTAATCGACAGACCAGGGCTAAATCTGTTTGAAAGTTGAACCATTTCTGGTGATGTGCCATTTGAAATATAAAGGCATTATATTATTTTAAATTTATGAACTGAATCCCCATAATTGACAAAATTTTCTGGGATAAGCTGCTATTTACGAAAATTATATTTCAAGTAAAACAATGGTCGTTTGCTGTAGGTAGGTTTCGAACCTATGCTGATAGAGAATCTGATTTCTAGTCAGACGCCTTAACCGGAAGACCAAGGCTAAATCTGTTTGAAAGTCGAACTATTTCTGGTGATGTGTCATGCGTTGAAATAAAAGGCCATTATATTTTTTTAAATTTATGTAGTCAATCCCCATATTTGAGAAAAATTTCTGGGCTGAGCTGTTAATTAAAAAATATATATTTCAAGCAAAACAATGGCCGTTTGCAGTAGGTGGGTTTCGAACCTACGCTGCCATAGAGAATCTGATTTCTAGTCAGACGCCTTAACCGACAGACCAGCGCTAAATCTGTTTGAAAGTAGAACTATTTCTGGTGATGTGCCATTTGAAATATAAGGGCAATTTATTGTTGTAAATTTATGCACTCAATCCCCATAATTGACCACATTTTTTGGGCTGAGCTGCTAATTACAAAAATTATATTTCAAGCAAAACAAATTTTCGTTTGCAGTAGGTAGGTTTCGAATCTACGCTGCCATGGAGAATCTGATTTCTAGTCAGACGCCTTAACCGACAGACCAGAGCTAAATTTGTTTGAAAGTCGAACTATTTCTGGAGATGTGCCATTTAAAATATAAGGGCATTATATTGTTATAAATTTATGGACTCAATCCCCATAATTGACCACATTTTTTTTGCTCAGCTGCTAATGACAAAAATTATATTTCAAGCAAAACACATTTTCGTTTGCAGTAGGTAGGTTTCGAATCTACGCTGCCATGGAGGATCTGATTTCTAGTCAGACGCCTTAACCGACAGACCAAGGCTAAATCTGTTTGATGATGATGATGATGATGATGATGATGATCTGTTCATGTAATTAAAACATATATCAAGATTATTTTTTACAAACACAAAAAGTGTAAAATTGCACATTTGAAAAAAATTACGGATAAACGGATATCGTGAATATACTTTTAGATCAAATGGAATTTCATTATTAAATACTGTTGTTATTTTGTAATAGTTTTCTAGTAAATTAAAATGTTATCTTTGAAATCCACCGCGACATTCGCTATTGAATTTGACGCGTTACGTTCCATTATTCCATTATTAATTTATTTATTATATATTATTATTTAAAAATTTTATAACAATAATTTTGAAATATTCAAAAAATTTAAACTTTGTAGTATATCAAAAGTCGAAAGATTAGTAACGTTTAAATTGATTTTTAGTAATATTAAGTAACTGATTATTGATCACTATACAGATAAGAAAATATTTTAAAAGATTTATAAATAAAATTCAATATTAAATATTAAAAAAGTTAAACACAAATAATTACTCATGCTAAAAAGATTGAAATAATAAAATGTAATTATTAATATTTCATTTCATAATATGTTTGTAAGAGGAGAGAAATTGTAACATAATAATTAAAATAAAATTACTTGTAAATGAATCGTAATTGTACAATCACATTTGATTATACGATATATAAATATACATTTCAAATCGTTTAACCGCATATTACAATTTACATTAATTTTCTATTTTTATATCGCACCTTATTTCCAATGAATATTTTCCTGTCCTTGTTATATCTCCTTCCATACTTGTAGGTTGTTTGAATTGTTTCCTTGATTCGTGTCGTACAGTTGTTATCTTTATTTCAATGGTTGATGAATATTCTTGATGTCCAACAGGCAATAATTGGTTTCCGTCAGATGTTTGATTGTAGTCTTCAAGATGACTCGTTGCATAGTGAGGGTTTCCTTTATCTAAATAAAAATAAATAGAAAAATTGAATTTTGACTTTTAAAAAACAGATTGAAATTTAAATGAAATTTTATTTTAAAATATTTGTGAACATATAAAACGAAAATATTATGAAAATAAGTTAATGACTGCGTTATTTGATTAAACAAAGAAACAGTATATATAAATAAATTAAATATTAGTATATCGTATCAGAAAGTATTATTTAACTTGAAAAGGAAAATAAAGAATAACTAAAATTATTTACGTGATTTTGAAAAAAAATTAATACAATATTGATATTATAATTAAACATGTAACTATATAAAAAATTATTAATAAATAAAAATAATATTTTTTATATAGTTTATATATTTCAATTAGAGAATTACTAATTTTTTTTAAATATGTTCATAAATATATTGTTTTTAAAGTGTTTAAAAAAGTTACTTTTTATATTTAAATCTATTTATTGAAGTGATATACTCCGCAAATGATTTTCTTCTGATTAAATGATGATGATTCTTGGTAAAGTTTCAATGATCATCCTTTGAGTGAAATCGTCAAGGATTTCGTTTCCGATAACTGATTGGCGCTATTCTTTATAATTCAGTTGTCGATGATGATTTGTTGTCTACCTGCACAAACATAATAAAGTTAAAATATTTATTTTTGAAAGAAATAAATGTAAAATTTTAAAATTTATAAAAGATATTAAGAAATTAAAACATATTTATTTTAAATAGTTTAAAAAAAACGTATAAACGATTTAAGTATCATTCAATATATATTAAAAGTTAGTTTCATAAAAATTTTTAATATGAAACACTACATATAATATACGATATGAGTTTATTTAAAACTTACTTGGTACGTTTGAATCTTTTTATTCGAGTATCCTATTTCTTGGAAAACCTATTCTCGTCTAGATGACATTGGTCCTTGTAGGGTCACAACGGTATCTTTTTGATGAAATTATCAACGGCTTTTTTTTTGGATGGATGGTCAAAGACATTCTTCATAAAAGTGATCATCAATGGTCAATGATGGTTTGTTGTAAGTAATTTATGTAGTAATGAATATTTTTAATATCGTATATGATATTCATTTGAATTTTTTTTTTTAAATAAACGATATTTTATTCTTTATAGTTTTCTTTTATTTCATTTCTTGTCGTCACTTTATTTGCTTAAAAGAAATAAAAAGGAATCTGTAAATAATGCCGAATTTGTTTGATAGATTATGTGGATTTATATTTTACATTTCTTGTGTTAAACTGGAAAATATTAAAAATTATATAAAGTAATTATTGATTTTGTAGTAGTAGATATTACATATAATATGTTACAAAGTTTCAATGATCATTTATTTAATAAAATTGTTTTCTTTTTTTTTTTCATAATTGATGAATGATTTTCTTTATAACTAAGTTGTCGGTAGTAATTTATTGTCCACTTAAAAATATATAATAATTTTTAAATTTCCATTGAGAGAAATAAATGGAAAATTTTACATTCAAAAAGAAATATTAGGAAATTAAAATTTAAAAAACTTGAATAAATTTAAAAAATATATAAATAAATGAAACACATTAAAACACTAATATTTCATATTAAGAGTAATAATATAAATATTAAAAGAAAATTAAGATTAATTATCATCATCATGTTTTCATTCATTCATTTAAATATATTTTTTTAAATTATTTCTTTTTTTTTAGATGATATAAGTCTTTGTAAAATGGTGATGGTAATTTTTTGAATGAAATTATCAGTCGGTCCATGTTCAATAACTGATTGAAGGCATTCTTTATAGAGAAATTGTTAATGATGGTTTGTTTTTTATCTGCAGGATTACAACATGAAAAAAATTTTACCGTCAAAAGAGTAAATAAAATATTTTAAATTTATCATGCAATTTTGGGAAACAAATTGAAAATCGTCTATTTGAAATACTTACACATATATATGATTTATGTAAAAGTTGACAAAAACAATAAAACTAACTTGAATTGTATAAATAATTTTGAAAAATTATATGAAAAATTAATTTAATATCAAATATCAATTAAGACTTATAATTTGAACATGATAAAACTTTACCTGTGTTTATATCCATTTATCCAAATAATATTTTACTTGGATAATTTTCTTTCCAAATTGGCAATGATGGTTTATTTAAATTTCTTATGGTAATTTCTCTCGAAGTTATCAGAAGTCGTTTTATTGATAACTCATTGATGATAAATTTTGCTGTTAAACTACCCTCTTCTAAGCGGTTTTTCAATGGCCTAATTATGTACCTGGGACATCAGCTTTTTTTGCGATTCCGAAATAAATAAAATAAACATTTGGTTATTTTATTATTGGGGGTAGTTTTACACATTCTCGACCGCTTCAAGGTGATTGAGTAGTACGTCATTTTGAAGCTCTCTCAAGTGGCTCTTCAATGGTCTAAACCCATACCTGGGACGTCAGCTTTTTTTGCGTTTCCGAAATAAATAAAACGAATATTTGGTTATTTCGTTATTAGGGGTAGTAAAACATCTAGTTCTTGTATCAATTGTCTTTCTGCAATTTTTTGAATCCTGTAACCATCAGAAACAAAACGAATATGAATTAGAGGTTATGGAAAATAATATCGTATAAAAATTAAAAATGTTATATTAAATACCTTTAATTTGTAAAACGTATTTGTTTCTCTTGGAAATAAACCCCAGTGATGCATTTTTCACGCGATTGACGACGACATGCCAAAATTTAAAAATTCGTCGACATGTACTCATTTTGACATTTTCTATGTTTAACTGTGTTCGCGTTTACCATAGTTTGAAACTCGGATGGGCATTGTAAAACCGCATCAAATAATCCCACAACTGTTGATGACGTCATAAATTTAAAATTGTCATTATTAATATTACAATTAGGATTATGTATTATTATTGTTGATTTGACAAATAAAGTAATTATATACGATGGAAAGACATTACAATTTTTGTCGATTTCATCATGATGTTTTGATATTGTTTTACATTATTTTCTTAAAGAAGTAAAAAGGAATCTGTAATTCCGAAATTGCTTGATAGATGGCGTAGATTTACGCTTTGTATATATTTGTTTTTCAGCTTGAAAATATACGATACTATGTAAAATAATTATTGATTTTAATTTTAATATATTTTATGAAATAAATATTAAAGACTTACTTGTTAAACTAAAATTTGTTTATCCAAATAATGTATTTCTTGCTTGATTCGACAGATTCCTATCGAGTTCTGATAACATTTATTCACTGAAACTTTTTTTTTTCTTTTCATTACGTTGTCCATGGTGATTTGTTGTCCATCTACATAAATAAAGAATAAATACAAAATTGTAAATTTAAAAAGAAACGTTGCTTAAGAAAATACATAAATAATTTAAACAGTGAAGTACTAATATTTCATTTTAAAAACTATGATGTAAATATTAAAAAACTGAAATTAGTTTTATTTTGTTTTTTTAAGGAAAAGGAAAGTGAATGGCATTTTTCATAATTGTATTGTTAATGAAAATTAGTTTTTTATTATTTTTTTTTTAAGTTAAATTTTACATTTTATAAAAGATATTGGAAAATTAGATTGTGTAATTTGAATAGAAGGAAAAATATAATTTGTTTTGTAAAAATAACCTATTACCTAGTTAATTTTATAAAAATATTATAGCAACTATTAACTTTCGAATATTAAAATACTACATATAACGTACGATATGAGTTTATTAAAAACTTACTTGTTATATTTAAATATATTGATATAAGTGATGCTTTTTTTCGGAATATTCCTTTATGTCTAGATGATGTTGGTCCTCGTTACAATAGTAGTTTCTTCAATGAAGTTATCCCTTTGCAATGATTGGTCCAAGACATTTTTCATAAAACAATTGTCGATAATGGTTTACTTTCTATCTGTATGAATATTCCAAATTTTTTATTATTTCAATAAATAGAAAAACAATTTAAATTTTCCAAACTATTCTAAGAAATCAATTAAAAATAATCTATTTAAAATATAGCCATTACAAATCATATTTTGACAGAAAAAAAATGTAAATAATTTAAATCGTATAAGTAATTTTAAAAAGTTATGTGGTACGTTGATGTTGTAATGCTCAATGTCATCTATAATTTATAATATAAACATGGTAGAAATTTACTGGATATGTTTGTATTTATTTATTTAAGTGATATTTTTATTAAGTGATATTTTTGTAGTTGAATTTGTAATAACAATTGTGCAAAGTTCTTTAGGATAATCTTTTTAGAAGTTGTTGGCAGTTGTTTTGTTAATAATTAATTGATGATAATTTCCGCAATGGTATGAAGTTTAACGAGGCACTTTCATCTGCATTTAACAATAACTATTGAAGTTGAAATCCAACCAATCTTCATGACAAAACATCTCATTGTTGTACGTAATTTTGTTTTTATATAAATTTTTGGATCCCGTAATCTTCAAAAATGAAATGAGAGTGAATTAAACGTTATTAATATCGTATCGAAATGAAATATATATTATATCAAATACCTGTTATATGTAAAATGTAGTTCTTTCTGCTTGAAACGAATTTTCGAAGCACCTTCTTCGCACGATCGACGAGTATCTTGTAATTTATCGGCATTTGTTCTTATCGTAGACATCGTATCGGATAACCTCACAACTAACGATGAGGTTAGAAATCTTAAATTTTTAATATTGTTAATATTACAATTGAAATATTATTATCGCTAATTTCATAAATTGTACAATTATATAGTGTGGCACGAAATTTTAAAAAAGCGTTGTAATTTTAACTAATTTGGTGACGACATTTAGACATATATTGGTAAATGTGTTTGAAAGTTGTTCAGAATGATCTAAATTATTGTCGTTATTCTTACCCTTTTCTTCAACTGTAACGTTTTAAGAAGAAAAATAATTGATGTAATAGAGAATATTTTCAATTAAAATGTAGTTTTCATTTAGGTAATAGTTTTTTTGGAACAGAAATGGGTTCATTGTATTAATTAATTTTAGACTATCGGTGGAATTTGTAACTTTGAATTTGTATTTGATTTGACGCACGCACGCGCTGTAACATATAATATTTGTTTTTAAATTATTAAATAAATAACATTATGAAATGTAACACTCACCTGACAATGTAGATGCCCATTGGAATAATAAAAAAAATGTTTCGTCTTTGTTGAGACTCATCAGCATTGCCTAGCGCGTTTCTTTTCAATTGTTCTTCCAACGAAAATAAACGTCAGCAATGGACATTTTTTTTATTTTTTACCAAAACTTGAAATGAAAATATAGAGAAACCGAGTGCAATTGAAATCGTTATATCGGAGATTATAAATTTAAAATTAAGTTAATAATGTGCTTTATAGAGAGTGATATGAAAAAAAAAATAAAAAAAATGTCCATTGTTGAATTGTTTTACATTAAACAATATGTTGCAATAAAAAAGAAATTCAGCAATGAACTTACAAACTAAGGGGCAATTGATTTAAAAATTTATATAATAGAATATTTGTTGAATTGAGAAAATTTAATGAAGTTATATAATGTAAAATTTAAAAAAAAATTAATTTATATAAATTGCTTTACGAGAGAAATATGAACATGTTATTGTAAACAAATATAATCAACAACGACTAATTTAAAAGAAAACTGTGAAAAAGGTAATTAAATATTGAATAAAAAAGTGAAATTTATAGAGTGAAATAACAATAAGAAGGTTGTAATAATAAAAAAAACTATTTGTTGAAGATATACAATATTGATCATAAGTAAATGTCGTTGTTGTTATAACGGCAGCATTAACGAACGTGTAAATGTGTACTTTGAAAAAAAATATATTAAATTTGAAAAAAAAGAGTTTTAATTTCACTTTTAAAATGGAAATGTTGGTTAAAAAATTGTCTAAATCGAGATGAAAATTAAGTCACAACCGGTGATGGCACGTCAACTGAGGATAATGTCGTGGTTGTCCCCGATGTTCCGGGAAAAAATCGTAGTCTTGTTCGAACGAAGTACTGGTCGGTTCGTTAGACGTTGGTGGAGAGGGTGACGTGCGTGCCGGAAGCACGACTTCACCCTGACCCCCAATAATCGCACGAGTAGGATTCCAGGGTAACCGTTGTCGAAGTGGTTCGGGGTTGTTAAAAATGTTGGAGTAAACGACGTTACGCGTCAATTTAACTCCGTCTCTGCGTCTGAAAGCGCCTTGATTTGCCGTGTTTTCGATCACAACACGCACATCTTCAGGCGAGCCCACCCTAGAGAAGGCCACATAAAGCTGTCCGTGCGCGAAACACGGGCTTGGCAAATGGATTCCTACTCTTGCGTACGTCTGTCCTTGACTTTTGTTAATCGTCATGGCGAATGCCAGCCGTATGGGAAACTGCACTCTCTTGATCGGGCGAGGAAGTTGCGGAACGCTCGATGTAATTTCAATTTTGGGCAAGTTGATGGTCTCCCCTTTGCGGGGACCCGATAAAACCTTGACTTCCAAAACTTCCTCGCCGAGACGCACAATCATCATTCTGGTGCCGTTGCACTGTCCATGCCGGACGTCTAGGTTTTTAAGCAGGACGACAATCGCTCCCGTCTTGAGCACGAGCTCATGTGGCGGAAGGTTGGACGCCGAGATCCGATGAACGACGTCCAAAAGGACGTGAAATTCATCATCCTCGGTCGCCGCATTGCCGGCATACTCGTCGACCGAGTGGTAGTACCTTGGCTCACCAATGATTTTCCGATTTAAAATTAGCAAATTAATGTCATCTACCGCGACATTGGTGGGACACAGTATCACTCGATCCCCGATGTCGTTTTCATTTACTCTGTCGTAGACCCATTCGATCAATTCCTGTATGGTTGGCATTACGAAATGACGATCGATTTTGATGAGATCGGCCGGGACGAACGTATCGCGCAAAATTGCCCTCTCGATTAACCCCTCCCCCATACGCAAAAGCCAATTGCCGTACTCTCGAATGCGGTTCCAAACGACTTCCAAGTCGACCATTTCGGGATGATGAGCCGCCGCCTCGGTCGCCGATTGTACCGCGCGATTCACTCGCAAATTTGTCTGAAGACAAAACACATTCACCCTGCGCCAAATCTGACTCGATTTGACACAGTTTGCAAAGATGTCCATGCGCGAACCGCGCACCACGATCGGCAACGTTTGACGAAAGTCACCCCCGAAAAGGACTACTTTTCCCCCGAAAGGAACCACATTGTTCTCGCACACGTCACAAACATACCTGTCGACCGCGTTCAATGCATGCTTTGAGGTCATCGACACCTCGTCCCAAAGAATGACGTCGGTTCGACGAATGTTTTGCGACCTTTCGTGCTCGGCCGGCCATCCGACCGTGGACTCTTCGTCCAGGTCCAGAGGGAGACGGAAAACGTGGTGGCAGGTCCTCCCCTCTATAAGTAAAGACGCAGCGATTCCCGTCCACGCAACTGCCATCAGACGGACACCGCCGGCAGACAGAATTCGCTCCGCGATTACGTTATAGAGAAAAGTTTTGCCAGTTCCGCCGGGCCCGTCAACAAAAAATAAATTTCTGTTGACGAACGTCTCGTCCGCCTCCAGTCCCGCAACGATAGCCCTGTCGAGGTGGAAATATCGCAACGCACTCTCCGAATCTACGCTGTTTCTATTTTTTAACAAAGTGTAAATAACGGCGTTGTAAACAACTCGCACGCTCTGTCCCTGAATCTCAAGAGCACATTCTCGTGCTCGTCTGACGCCGGCGCGCATTGTCTCACTTCCGCAAACGCGTTCGCTTCATTGACGCCAGCAGCTTCCGGGTCGTCCAGACCGATCTCGTTGAGGTTTATTCCCTCGCGATTTGCCGCCACGATTTGATCAATATTAATGAGAGCGCGGCGAAGCGCGATCGGCCGCGGAATACCGCGTCTTATGAGATCAGCGATCATGTAAGGATCTTTGAACTCCTCCCATAAGGCCGGTATTTCGTGCCGATGGCGCTCGAATGAAACTAAAATAATTAGAGGGAAAAAATTTCTGACGCGCGGCGGCAAATCGCGATCGCAAACCTCGCGCATCGCGTTGCGGTAAATGTCAAAATTGGCGAGTAACCGACGCTTCTCGCAGGCTTCACGGTACGTTTGACAGACATATCCGTCGGCTAGCGTCCGGATCGATTCGAAGGAGGTGGGCCCCGTAAATGTTGTAACAAAATACGCAGGTGAAACCTTTCGTCATCCAACGGGGATACTTCCCGTATAACTCCCACGATTTTATTAAAATGTTGACGCGCACGCCATTCCCCCTCTCCTCTAAACCAAACGTAGTTTTCGGGTATCTCGACGTAGCGCAGCCGCCGTGCTTCGGGGTCGACCGCATTCAGACGGAAATACGCCACCAATTTAGACACGTAGTTTGTTGCGTCCGCGACACGGGTCAGTAATTCATCTTCGTCTTCATCTTCATCGAAAGTGACGGGTTGTTCATTCTCCAAGTGAACGGGCAACGTAACTACGGCGTGGGGACGATCGTGTAATTTATACGCGAAAATACGCCAGCACGCTTCCATCGAGCTGATATATCGACAGTCGGTATAGTTACGAATCTCGTCCCAATCGACTTCACTATTCTGCCCGCGCATTTGGATGGTGATACAATCTGGTCCTTTGTGGCAATATTTGTACAGGTATCGGATAGAGGCAAAAGATCCGACCCCTTCGAAATTAATGTGAGTCCGATATCTCATCGCAGCCCAGCGGTTGTAAGGCACGATACGCCGATTATCATAACGATTGCCTGCGAAAATGACAAACCGACCGTCATCGGGACGGGCATATTCCGGTCTTCCGTTGAAACGGTGGAAATTTAGAACGGTATCGCGTCGAAAGGCTTTTGGATAGCCTTTCGCGCACACGCGAGACTCCAAGTTGGTACACGGGGCGGCCGGATTGTCTTGACCGCAGACACGGTGCACATAATAATCACGCACAACACCGTACAGATCCGTACAGATATAATCCGGTCCATCTTCTCCGCGTCGTCGATCCGATCCGTAGGTTCGAACCCGATTAAAATGTGAGCGTGTGGCAGTCCTCTTTTTTGAAACTCGATCGAATAATGATAAGTGCGGACAATTCCTAAGAATTGTTCTTTGACTAAATCGTTCATGAATTGTTGGAGCTTTGTATGGAAGACTCGGCACACCAATTCTGGACGATTTTCCACGCGTTGATTAAAATTTAAATTTTGAGTAATTTCTGGCCAATGGGGGTTGCAGGTCATCGTTATAAATAAGTCTGGTTTACCGTGTCTGGCAACGACTGCCATAGCGTCCAGGTATAGTTTGTTCTGTCCGCGACAACTACCCTTAAACGTGGCCGGCAGGATGGTGATACGGCCGATCCTCGCATTAGGCCCCGCTTCGGCTACGCGCTTGCGCACGTAGTCGATTAAGCGGTTGTAATACGTGGTCCGAACTTGACGTTGATTCGTCCGATACCACCACAACTCTTCCGATTCTATTTTCACGTACGTGTCAATCACGTACTGTTGAAATAGTTTCGCGGAATTGTGCAATATGGAAAAAGTCCCGTCACGTACCATCAACCTGTGCTGATAGAAATCCCGGAGCGAGACCTTTTTGTCTCGTCTGCTCGCGTATCTGAGACGCATGTCATAACCGTCCTCTCCGGGAGGGAAGAGTAACGGGTACACCATGGGATCAGACACACGAGACAAATTACTAATTTTATTTTGATGGTCGATAAGCGGACGTCGTGGATACACTCGCAGATCAACATCGAACGGTATATCGTTATCAAATACCGCTGCTATTTCGCAGCGGCTCTCGGGTAAGTTAAAATTCCGTCGATCTCTATTGATGTTGTTTTTGAATCCCACCACGATGTTCGCTACCGAGTTTGGCCCGTCACGTTCGATGCGTTCCCGAATCATTTCCCGAATGCAAATGTAACTATGGACGAGTACGTTCGTGCGCCTCAATATTTCCTCGAGGATCCGGAAAAGATGCGGATCTATTCCCGTCTCGTCAAAAAAATCGTTGCGACGTTCGAGCGCTTCCGCGACATCAAGAAAATAATACTGATTGTTTCTGATTGGTTCATCACGATGCGGCACATTTAGAGGGATGTCCTGAGCGTGGTGGTAAATTTGTCCCGTGATTGTGAAACAAACAGCCCCTTGTCCAACATTAACATCCGCAGGAATAGTAGCGTGCATGGAGGCCATGGCAAAATTACTATTCAATTTCGGGATGTTATTCAAAAACTGCCGAGCAAGAGGTGTATTCTCAGTTAATAATTGATGCAATTCTCTCGGACATTCCCCTAAAGGCGGTAGAATAACTTCGCCCCCTTTGCAACAAATTAATCTAATATTATTCCGATTTTTCGGTTCCAATTCAAAAAACAAAGCGTTGCAAAAACGGCATACGTCAGTCATTGGCCCGCAAGAATGAATTTCTACATGAAACGGTTGTCGTTGTGCTAAAGTAATAGCGTGTCGGTGCGTTCTTCTAATAGGTATGTCAGCGTGCCTTCGTCTAGGAGGCGGTAATAATACATTCACCGGCACGTCGTTGTTATTTAAATTTAGAAAATGTTGATCGTTAGCTTCTGAAGGGACAGTTGTTTCAAGTAAAATATCATCGTTGGCGCATCGTTGCAAATTTGGAGAGACGGACGACGAAGTAGAATTTGTTGTTGTTGTCTGTACTTGGGGCGGTTGCGGCTGGTCTTCCATGGACGCGACTTGCAATCGAGGTTGAGAGATAGATGGTATCTCTCGTTCCTCAATTGGGAACAAAGGTGGCAAGATGACAGGGAAACCACGTAAAATAACGTATCCCTCTCTGGGAGTTCTCGAAACGCGATTTGATGTTGTTGGTAAACGATGTAAAACCACCCGCAATCCGCGCAACGTTCGTCCAAAATGTCTGTTCGTTGCCGATAATGCTGCCGGTTCATCCAATAACATGTTTCGAATCGGTATAATTACACGACGGGCATTGAAACATTGCAAAATTTGAAAAGACGTTAAAGGTCGGATAATTATACTTAAATCGCGGATGGTGTTGAAAAAATGAAGACGTCGTATTATAACTATTAATCGACGTCGAGATTCCAAAGATTGGCGACCTCTCAGTCGATCTCTAGAAATAATACGCGATTGATTATTAACAGGCATAATTAAACCGATTCGTTTTAATCTAAAAAATATTCAAAATTTATTAAATTTTAAATATTAATATTTAAAAAAATATTAAGATCTAAGCCAAATATTCTGAAAAAAAAAACAGTTGTAAAACAGCTTTTAAAATTTTGTATAATTTAAAATAATTAAAACTAAAAGACGCAAACACTAAAACGATAATCGTAATAAGAGTACTTACATTATTAATTGCCCCACGATAAATGATAGCCGGATCTCTAAAATTAGAAAAAAAAAGAAATCAATTTGTTGTATTAAAACGGTTATTTCATATTTCTCGATGGTACAAATTTAAAATTTAAAAAATTATCTAATAAAATAATTGGAAAATATTGATAATTATTTTCTAAAAGAAAAAGAATAAAATAAAAACAACACCAACATAATAAACAACTATAGCAATTAAATAATAACTTTACTCGATTATTTAAAAAAATAGTTATAGGCAACCATGCATACAAAAGACGGACAACGAAATTATAGGAGCGAAATAATTGCCTATGTGATTTTCAATTATCAATGCATTAAGTCAACGAAATTGATTTAGCGGCAATTGAAAATATTCAATTTATTATATTTTTTAACTGGATAAATTTCAAAAGAAAAAAAATTAATACCGAAAAGTAAAAAATAATTATATATTATGAAATAAATTAATAACCTATAGAGATCGTGTGAAACATATTCCTATATTATTCAATGAAATACGCAATAAACTAAAACACTTTTAAAATGTACAAAAATCGACAACGTGTGAGAGAAATAGTTTCGCGCCTATTTTTAAACCGTCAATCGTTTAGTAACAGCGAAATTAATCATAAATTTAAACGAAAAAGACGATAAATGCATTGCTTTCTAATTACATACTGCATATTTTATTTATTATCCAAATTCGAATATATATTAAATGAAAACGATTTTAAATTGCACGAAAAATTGGCAACAATGTAGCTAACGTACGAGAGAAATAATTTCGCGCATATTTTGAAACCGTCAACCGCTTAGTAACAGAAAAATTAATAATAAATTAAAGGTATAATGAAGGTGAATGTGTCGTACATTCATGAGAAAGTTTATTTGTAATAATGTCTAACTGTACAAAATAAAAATTAAAAACATAAGTTATCCGCTACATAAAAAAAAAACGAACTTACGAAAAGTGAAAGGAGAAATAATATAGCGTGAATTTTTCCAATTGCATGTTTTATTTAGATATAATCGTACGATTTAAATTTGAAGAAAATCGCACGTAGGAAAAACAAATTTTAATAATATGAAAGAAAATAATTTTATCGATTTATTTAATTGAAAATAAAATAAAAAGATACTTAATGTTTTTAAGGTTTTAGCTATCGAATTTGAAAAATAATTTGGGAAAAAATTTACCTTAAACACAGAATTTTGTAACTCGTAGACCACTGAAACAATACTGGATAAAAAAAAGTGGGGGATCAATATTTATATATTAAGCCAAATCGTTAATTTTCGCGCCTGAGATTTACACAGTTGCCGGTTTTCAACTTTACTGTTTCAAAAATTGAAATTACGTATAAAATTTAATTTCTATTTCACGTATATGGTAACGTTGATAATATTGAATACGGAAAATACAAAATTATTTCTTAAAGTGGAAAATTATTTCTAAAATAAAACAAAAAGTAACATGTATATTTGATACTGGCAACAATGTATGTATGCAATATGTATCTAAGGCGGGGTTGCAATATTTAACGAAAAAATTGGCGCGAAAATGGTGCAATTAAAAATAACGGTTTTTAGTAAATGGAAAAAAATAATTTTCACGATTATGAAGGGATTTTTATTGATAACATGTAATTGAAAATATGTATGTAAATAGTTTTGATTTTCTCTCTTCGTAAATTTGTGGGAATGTGAGAAAATGAAATTGATTTATAAATGGTGAATTCGCCGGGACTAATGCATATACATTATTTAAAAAAGAAATGAAACGATATTTTAAATGGCGAAAATGTATGAAACGTAATTTACATGTTATATGATGAAAATTACATTTAATAAAAATGAATATCGTATAAAAAAACTGGAAAATACGCAATGATAATTGAAATGTGTTTTATTCAACGAATTAAAAAAAATACATACAAATATGCGTTAATATTATTACATACAAATTACTTTTTCTAGTTGTATATTATAATTGAAATAAAATTATTAACATTAAAACATATTCATCAGTTTAACAAATTAAATAACAACGGTTCAATATAAGTTTAATAAATTTATATCCAGATTTATAATAATTTAAGAAAATATAATACAACTTTGTTAATTATATACAAAACTATAAAAATTTCTAATTGTCCTAATTGTTTATTTCTTTATTATGATAAATATAAAGTAAATGATAAGCAATACGAATCTTAAATTTATAATAAAAGTAAGTTTTTGTTTAAAAATTTTTAATGAATATAATTCAATAATCGTATCGATTTAATTAAAGAAATGTGTTGAAAAGTACATGAATTCCATTAAATGTGTAGCTTTCCTAATCTTCTTTATTGTTATTAATTGTACCATTCCAATTATTGATGAAGATGTTGTTTTTCACAAACGTACGTTAGTCATTGTTGTCCTTAAATTATAGTTGGATCTTCTTTGTGTCTACAAAAATAAATGTTTGTTATTAATAATACATCTGTTAAATCTAACAATGCACAAAAATATTAATTAAAAATGTATTTATTACATGCCTTGGTTCAATTAAAAAATACATATATATTTTAAAAGTATGAAAGTAAAATATTGTAAATATTAAAATTACTGTTTCTTTACATTTTAAAAATTTGATATTTTTACATGTACAAAAAATTTATCAATTGTGAGAATTCTTTTTTAATAATAGGACAACATATTTTTCTAAATTCATTTCAAGTACATAATTACATTAATATTTAAACTACATACATTATTTTATATAATATATATATATATATATATATATATATATATATATATATATATATATATATATATATATATATATATATATATATATATATATATATATATATGTTATTTTCAATATATGAAAAAAATATATATATTGTAATTTGAAAGTGAGAGAAATATTTACATGAATAATACTAATTTATATAAGAATTTTTTGTTTATAATCAATCTTAATTGAATTAAAAAATATTAATACATATTAAAAATTATAGGAAACAGTTACGAATTGTATAATCTAAATATCGTTTGTAATTTACTACCTGAAATAATTTTAAAAATTTACTTATTATATTTGAAGGTATGTAACTAAACAAACCATCTACGGTCCGGTCCTACATGCAATTGATGATATTCTCTATAATTAGCTTATCGATGATGATTTCTCCTCATATCCAACTAATAATTATTTCACCATTAGTTGTTTGGTAGCAGGGTTGACGATGACTTGATGAATAATAGTCGTTTCTTTTATCTAAAGAAATATAAAAATTAAGTTTTCAAACAATATATTTTAATATTTAATAAAAAAAAAGAAACAATTTATATAATTTAAATTATATATAAATTAAGTAAATGTGAATTTGTTGCATTAAAAACGATTATTTAAATTGAAAAAGAAAACAAAGAATAATTGAAATTGTTGAAATAAGTTCGTAAAAGAATTTCATAAAATATTAATTCTACAATGTCAATTGTCATTTGGAATGTAATATATCACTATATTAAAAATTCATTGTTATAGTTCGGCTTTTACCTGTGTTCTTTGAAGTATCTTTAAAAATATGGTTTTTAAGAAAAATTTTAATACACCTATTTACTACTTTTTATATAAGAATATTTGAAAAACTTACTTGCTGTATTTAAATCTGTCCATTGAAATGATATACTTCTCAAGTGATTTTCTTCCGTCTAAATGATGATGATCCTTGCAAAGTCGTAATGATAATTCTTTGAATGAAATCGTCAATGATTTCATTTGCAATAACTGATTGATGGTATTGTTTATAATCCGGTTGTATATGATGATTTGTTTTCCATCTGCAGAAACGTAATAACATTTAAATTTTTATTGTTAAATGGAATAAACATAACATTTGAAATCTAATAAAAATAATTAAAAAATTGAATTAGGTCCATCTCCAATTTAACATAATGTAAAATGATTTAAATATTAAAACTTTTGTATTGAAAATTATTAGATACCTATTAAAAGTTATATGCTTTGTAAAAATGATTTAATTACATAACTAATTAAATAAAAGCATTTTATAATATTACTTAATAAAAAACTTACTTGTTACATTGAAATATGTTTATGTAAGTATTGTATTCTTCGGAAAACTTCTTCTCTTCTAGATGATTTCAATTCATAATGGCGATGCAAATTATCAGCGACTTCTTTGCCGATGATTGGTTCCAGAAATTGTTCGTAAGGAAATCATCAATGATGATTTGCTCTTTATCTGCCCAGATATATGAAATTTTTTACTATCATGAAATATAAAAAAAAATTGAAATTCATTACAATATCTCGAGAAATTAAAATTGTTTATTTGAAACAGGTATAAAAGTATAGCAATTATTTAAATATGAATGTTATATTAATTTTAATTATATAATTTAAAGAAATTACATAAAATATTAATATGAAATATCAATTATGATTTATAATATGAATATAATAAAAACTTACCCGATGTTTGTTATCAATTATTCAAGTGATATTATTCTCGATGTTGATTCTTGTAAATTCCTATCGATGATTTCTTTAGAGGTTTTGATAGTAATTCTTATAATGGTATGAAATTTGACGAGGTACCTTCAGTCACTATTGACAAACACTATCTTAACTAAATTAAAGGATGATGATGATGAAACATCTCATTGTTCAATTATCTATGTTGTTTTATTTTTACATAAATTGTTGAATACTGTAATCATCTAAGGTGAAACAAAAATGAATTAAACGTTATAAAAAATAAAATCGTATAAAATTTAAAAATTCTATATTAAATACCTGTTATTGGTAAAACGTATTTGTTTCTCTCCGAAATAATTCCTCACGATATGCTCTTCACGAAATTAACGATGATATATTGAAATTTCAAAATTTGTTGATTTGTGCTTCTTTGGACATTTTGTACGTTTTCTTATCGACGTTTAACTATGCATTTATCTACAACAGTTACAAATTCAGATAGAAACCATAGAACAGTATGCGAAACCTCACAACTGTCAATGACGTCACACATTTTCATTATTAAAATGAAAGTCAAAATATTTTATTTCTAATGTGAATTTCATCACGATTTAAGCAATTATATATTATGAAATATGGAAAAAGTATTGTAATACTTGTGAATTTATTTAAAATGCTTAATTATAGTTATTCGAAAATATATTAAAAGATAATCAAAAATTACCCGCGTTATTATCTTTTTCTTAATTATAACACTTTGAGAGGGAAAGTAATTCATGTCGTAATAGACATTTGTAATATATGTGATTTTCAATTAAAAATTTATTTTTTAAGTAAAATTATTTGTTTACAGATTTCTTCTATCTCATTTCTTGTAATCATTTTATTTTCTTAAAGAAATAAAAAGGAATCTATAAACAATTTCGAATTCGTTTCATAGATGGCGTGAATTTAAGATTTACATTTCTTTGTTTAAACTGTAAAATATTCAAAACTATATAAAATAAATTTTAAAATTTACATATTGTATTAAAGTTTTTTCGTCTTGAACGATTCAATGGATTTTTTTGATAATTGGTCAACGGCATTCTTCATAACTAAGTTGTCGGTGATGATTTGTTGTCCATCTGCAAATATATAATAATTTTTAAAATTTTATCGACAAAAATAAATATAAAATTTTAAATTAAAAAAGAAATATTAATTAATTAAAATTTGTAAAACTTGTATGACTTAAGAAAATACAGAAATAATTAAAACATATTACCTGTTATCTGTAAAGTGCATTTGTTGCTCTCCAAAATAACTCCCTACGATGTATTCTTTATGCCATCAACGATAATATTTTAAAAATTTCATGAAATAAATAAATAAATAATTTTATGAAATAAATTCCCGTGATACGTTCCTTATGTGATCATCAACCATATTCTAGAATCTTGAAATTTATAGACATGTATGTTTTCTTACCATCATTTGACTGTAGTTGTGTCTATCATAATTTCTAAGACTTTGGATGGTGATTTAAACATTCATTGTATGTCCCTATAATATAAAAATAACTAAATTTCATTACATTAGATAACAATTTTTAATTAATAAAATTTTACGAGACACCTTTATTTATCTTTGATTCAAACCATCCTAGTTCAAATGTAACGAGTTTTCATGATGACAGTTCCTTGTTTGTTTCAATTTTGGACTTTCATATTTACTGAAAATAAAAAACAATAAATTAAAAGACATGAAAAACATTAGTCTATTCAAAGTTATTATTTATGAAATTAATTGTAAAATGCATCTTTAATAACTAATCAATGGTAATCCTTATATATTCATTGATAAATCAAAACAATGTTCAATTTTCTTTCTTTCATTATTTTAAATTACTAACAATTATATTTCGGTCAAATAATAATCTTAATATGGCAATGATATTTTCATAGCAAAAATGTTTATAAACAATATTAAATTCTTTACAGTAAATGAAATTAAAAATTGTAAAACTTTACAAAACATAAAAATTCTGTCTAACAATGATAAATATTTTTAAACGTAATTTAATTACTCACCTGATATTTCCTTAATATAAAAATAACTACAATTCTCTCTATGAAACATTAATTTTCAGTCAACTAAATTTTAGAAATTATCTTTACCTATATCCGATTGCATGAAAAGAGAGAAGGCTCCGTATTTACTGCTTACCGAGTGCTCTGCTTTAACATGAGCAAGATTGGAAGTCTTCGGAACGATCCTGATTAATCGAGATTCAACTTATGGTATTATTAGACTAAAGAAGTTACTAACCTTCTATGGAAGAGGTGGCATTTTGGACGCCCTTTAGAGCCCTCCTCCTTAATACCAATACTAATATTAATATCCATATCCCATAAAAATCATTTTATACGAATTATAATGATGCTTGACAATGAAACTTTTAAAAGTTATGTAATATTAATATTTACTTCAGAATTTATCTTGTTCATAGTCTATATAATCCCACTTTAGTGTAAATTGTAGAATCTTTCTATCACTGAAAACAAAACGAACACAAATAGAGGTTAGAAACAGACATATAAACAATAAGTTTAAACATTAAATACCTTTCATTTATTTTAGAATATGTTAGTTTCTATTTAAAAACAATCTTCGACATATATTCTTTATACAATTGATGATATCTTTGCTGAAATTTATCAACATGTTTCCAAAATTTTCTATGGTTAATATTTGCAAATTGACGTTTTACCATAGATGTATCTCTTATAGTTCCTTTATGTATTCTAAGGTTATAAGAATGCATTGAATAATCTCTCAACTATCAATGACATCACAAATCCTCAACATACCTCAAGAGTAATAGAACCACCTTCAAAATTTAATTGTTACGTATTAGTATTTTAGAATTATTTTATTAGTAAAACGTAATGTTAGACAGAATTTTAAATTATCACATTATCTTCAGCGCATCTAAAGACTTTGAAAATCTTTCGCATTTTGTTTTCGTTGGTATTGATGACGTTTAACAAAATTCCATAATGACATGAGTCTCCGACGACATGCAGAGCTTGCTATTTATAGTTAAACGCATAGATCAATAGGATTAAAGTTTGAGCAAATTGCACGTATAATTGTCGAACCAATCAAAATAAAGGATTCATATAGATCTCCCAGCCTACTCTTGAATTACAAACATTATTCACAGAATATTTACATTTCTAATGATTTTTAAAATACTTACATTGTTTCGAAAGGGTTGAATTTTTTTTTCAAGATAGCGATTAATAAGGTCCATTCGCAAATACTATAAAATCTCTCTCAACCACCCAATTTTTAGTTAATATTTTCGATTTATTGATTTGATGTTAGTCATAATTTTTTTAGCAAATGTATATTTTTTATTTTTTAAAACACTTACGTTGCTCCGAGAAAGTTCAAATTTTTATCGAAGATGGAGGTCAATGGGGTTTATTCACAGATACATTAAAATTCCCCCCCAGCCCCCTCCATTAAAATATTATTAATTATTTGCTAAAAATTTGCAGTCTCACGCATAAACCGCTCCCGATGGTAAACGGTGTAACTTGTGGGAATATTTTTATTATCATTGGATAGAGGAAGGACCAAAGTATTTAACGCACAAATTTCAATTTTTCAAAATTATAAGTAAATAAGATATAAAACGTTAAAAGTTGATCATTGATTTTTAAGCCGATTTTTCCATTTAAAATGATATTTCAAGGTTATTTCTCAACTCATATTAAGCCGAAAAAGTTGAAATTTTTATGGAAGATACACACCAACGAGATCTATCCGCAGATACTATAACGTCTCCCCCAATCTCCTATTTTTGGTAAATATTTGCAATTTATTATTTTCATATTTATCATGATTTTGTTCAGGAATTTTTAATTTTATTTTTTTTTTCTCCAAGAAAATTGAAATTTTTACCAAAGTTAAAGGTCAATGAGGTCTATTCGCCAATAATATAAAATCTGCCTCCAGCCCCCTCCATCATTAGTTAATATTCTCAATTTATAATTTTCATGGGTATCGAACGAAACGTCGAACATAATTTTAAATCATTGCATCGTCTTCAGCGCACCTCAAAACCCTCGGAACCACCATCTAATTCCAATTATTACGAATTAGTGGTCTGAAGATGGCTTCTCAGAACCACCTTCAAATTCCAATTATTACGAATTAGTGCTCTGAAGATGGTTTCCTGCTAAAACGAAACGTCGGACATAATTTTAAATCATTGCATCGTCTTCAGCGCACCTCAAAACCCCCGGAACCACCTTCTAATTCCAATTATTACGAATTAGTGCTCTGAAGATGGTTTCTTACTAAAACGAAACGTCGAACACAATTTTAAATCATTGCACCGTTTTCAGCGCACCTCAAAACCCCCGGAACCACCTTCAAATTGCAATTATTAGGAATTAGTGCTCTGAAGATGGCTTTCTGCTAAAACGAAACGTCGGACACAATTTTAAATCATTGCATCGTTTTCAGCGAACCTCACAACCCCCGGAACCACCTTCAAATTCCAATTATTACGAATTAGTGCTCTGAAGATGGCTTCCTGCATAAACGAAACGTCGGACAAAATTCTAAATCATTGCATCGTCTTCAGCGAACCTTAAAACCCCCGGAACCACCTTCAAATTCCAATTATTACGACTTAGTGCTCTGAAGATGGCTTCCTGCTAAAACGAAACGTCGGACACAATTTTAAATCATTGCATTGTCTTCAGCGCACCTCAAAACCCTCGGAACCATCTTCAAATTCCAATTATTACGAATTAGTGTTCTGAAGATGGCTTCCTCCTAAAACGAAACGTCGGACAAAATTTTAAATCATTGCATCGTCTTCATCGAACCTTAAAACCCCCGGAACCACCTTCAAATTCCAATTATTACGACTTAGTGCTCTGAAGATGGCTTCCTGCTAAAACGAAACGTCGAACACAATTTTAAATCATTGCATCGTCTTCAGCGCACCTCAAAACCCTCGGAACCATCTTCAAATTCCAATTATTACGAATTAGTGCTCTGAAGATGGCTTCCTACTAAAACGAAACGTCGGACACAATTTTAAATCATTGCATCGTCTTCAG